CCCAACTAGTCATAATGAGCAACCTTTTAAATATGTTGTAGCCTCTTTAATAGTCTAATATTTTTGTGTCAGCGTTCATGAGGGAAATAGGCTGAAAGCAGTGGTGTTACACTCAAACAGAAACCAATCCCTGTAAGCCACATACTTAGAAAGCCACAAATTAACATTATCTAGGTTGTCTTGTATTTTTACTTATTTTATTAAACATTTCCCAATTACATCTTAATCTGATTGGCTATACTGGGAAGTATTATAGGCAGCATAGTGGTTTGAGACCTCTGATCTTCCCTAATTTTGTTTCTCTCTGTGTTTCTATCCTAGAAAGAATTTGGAGGAATTCCTGTTCTGTTTTCATGCAGAGTTTAGGTAGCATTGGAAATAATTTTTCTATGAATGTGATAGAATTTACTTGTATATTTATATGGTCCTAGTCTTTGTGTCCTCAGCAGTTCATTTATGGCTTATACACTTTCTTTTTCTGATACTGGGTTATGAAAACAGCCCATTTCTTGTTTTCTTAATATATATATATATATATATATATATATATATATATATATCTTTAAAATACTCATCAATTTCATCTATATTATCATTTTTGCTGTCATTTAATTAGGCAAAAATATCTGACAATTTCCTTTATTTCATCTTCAACTGTTGTGAATCCTTTCATGTTTGCTACAATGTTCCTTTTAAAAAAACTACACTAGTTATCATTTAAAGAAAACCCTCATACACTTATTCATTCAATGGTTTGCTTGGTTTTTTTTTTCTTCGAAGTCCTTCATTTCTTCTTTCACATTCAGGATTTCTATTTTGTTATATAGTTGGTGGTTTAGAGGTGATTTTTTTAAGTTATTGCTTTTATCTTTGCCTTTTTTTTAGTGGCATGCCCAGTTCACTGATATGTTCTTTCTCTCTCTTGTTGACGAATGTATTTAGGGATATGGATTTTTCCATAAGGACCAATTTAGCTACATCTATAAAGTGTTGGGCATGTTGTCTAAGTGTCAATTTACTAGTTAAAATTTTCCATTGTTTCTAGTATGTGCTCTTCAATTCACCAATTCTTTAGGATTAAATTATTAAGTCTCCAGTTGATTTTAATCCATTCTCAAAAGTCTATTTATTAAATATAAATTTTATTATATTGTGGTCAAGAATCTCAAAATAAACAATTAAAAAGAATATAAAGGAAGGAAAGCTAGCAGTGTAATATCTCAAAATTTTAATACAAGCAGTAATTATCAAAACTATTTGATAAACACTTAAACAATAGAGAGGTCATAGAAACAGATTAGGTACCATGTACAAAACAAAGGAACATAGTAGCATGCTGTTTTGATACAAAACATGAAAAATCCTAGACAGGGGTGGGGAAGCTTTGGCCTCAAGGCCATACATGGCCAAGTGTGGCCCTTTGACTGAATCTAAACTTCACAGAACAAGTCCCCGTAATAGAAGGAGGTTCCCCATCCCTGGCCTAGGATAAAGACTCACTGTTTGACAACAACTGGAAACTAAGCTTGCAGAAGTTAGGTACAGAAAAATTATCTCTCACCATAATCAAAACTATGCTCCAAATGATACAGCTTAGATGTAAAAGGTCACATCAAGGAAAGACTTAGGAACCAAAGGACAGAGATGGCAGAAGGCAAAATGCATAATTTTCATCACATAGAATTTAAAAAAAATCTTCTGCATAAACAAAACCAATATAGGTAAAATTACAATGGAGATGATGGGTGGGGGGGAGTGAAGGCAAATCTTGGAAAAAAATTTCTCTGATAAAGGTCTCATATTCAAGATATATAATGAATTGACTCAAATATATATGAACAAAAGCCATTTCCCAATAGATAAATGGTCAAAGAATATGATCAGGCAGTTTTTAGAAAAAGAAATTCAAGCCACAAAACCCATATGAAAAAATGTTCCAAATCATTCATTGAAACAACACTGAAGTTCCACCTCACAACCATCAGATTGGCAAAGTTGATAAAAAGGAAAATGAACATGGTTCAAGAGGCTTTGGGAAAATAAATACACCAATGCATTGTTGTTTGAGCTATTAACTGGCCTAGCCATTCTGGAAAGCAATTTGGAATGATTCCCAAAATGTCACTAATTTGTGTCAGCCTTTTCACTCAGCAATACCATTATGAGGCCTGTTGTCTGAAGAAATAAAAGAACTAGAAATTAAGGACATATTCCTCAAGCGGTAAACGGCTGAATATGAAGGTAATAGGATATTATTGAGGTAAAAGACATTATAAAAGTCATGGTTTCAGAGAAACCTGGGAAGACTTCTATAAATCAGTGAAGTGAACAGAACCAGAACAATTTATTAAATTAGAAAGATATGATGAAAAGCATGTTTCCCTCTCAAACAAAAGGGAAAAATAGATAAGAAAAAGAAATGGAAAAAAGAGGGTTATTAAAGCATTTAAAAATGCACAGAAGGGAATGGCAGGCCAGATGGATTCACAGACAAGCTGGAAGACTTAGACAAGTTACATGTTGAATTTACTATATTATTAAAAAGAAAAGCAAGCTGTACATAATTGAGAGTATCATTTCTATGTACAATCCTCTTTTTCTGGTCCACTGGATACACAGAAACACTCAACTTATTTGCTTTTCATTAAGTTCAAATTTTTAAACAACATAATAAAACACACACAAAAAATGCACTACCCTCTTCTCTATGTTTCTTAAAACCATAAATTTGTCACATTTATGCCCCAGACGTTATGATCTGGTATATCAGAGTAAAAAGCAGGTAGATATGGTAAATCCCACTAATTGACTCGTATTATGCATTAGCTTGGTACAGATTGTTTCTTCTAGTATTCCTGATTGTTGTTCTTTTCTGGTTTAAAAATTCTTTCCCCAGCCTTCTTGTTTTTCAATGTATTGACTATGACATCGTTTTCTTCCCTTCTTTTCTCTCCCTTCACAGCCAAATGTATTATGAAGCATTAGACTTTGCACAAAGGGCATACTTTGTGTAACTAAGCTTTTAACATGATGAAAACGAGGAGCTGACACCAAGGTACTCCAGTGAAATTCAAGCTGAAAAAAGCCATGAGTAAGATCAATGGAGGTCATCATTTTGGTCCACTTCTTTTGAAAAAGCCCTGACTCTGCTAAGAAAAAGGACACAAGTTGCTGGAAAACTCCATGTGGACAGGTAATAGAAATGCTCTAGGCATATTCACATAGACCTTTGACTTGATGGGGATAATCATGATGCTTCCTTTCCCAGTGTGACCTAGGGATTTACACACACATCAGTCATTACCATATTCTACAGATCCCATCTTAAATGCACCACCTGACATGCTCCACTTTCCCCTATCATTCCAAAAATATTCAGTTCCATATTCATGACCAAGGAAGGCTCTGTGATCAAGAGATTTAAGTACAAGGTAAGATAAAGACACAATTGAGGTAACTCCTACTTACTGTCTCACATATGCTTTCACTTCATGTAGGATGCCTGTTCTTTTCTATCTGAAAGGATGTCTCGCAGTCTTTGATCCATGACATTACTTTTAAAAAATGGATCGATATAAAACAACCCTTCATAATAGTCAAACAAACCTCCTTAGAAAAATAGTTTGTCAGCTGCTAACAGAAAGGAAGGGAAGCTAAGTGGTGCACTGGAAAGCACTGGGTCTGAAGTCAGGAAGACTCATCTTCTTGAGTTCAAATCTGGCCTCAGACACTTGACCCTGAGCAAGTCACTTAACCCTATTTGCCTCAGTTTCCTCATCTGTACGATGACCTGGAGAAAGAAGTGACAAACCACTCTGCTATCTTTGCCAAGAAAACCCCAAACGGGATCACAAGTAGGTGGACACGACTTAAATGACTCAACAACAAAACAGAAGGGAGGGCCTTTAATGGCATGGTACTTGTACTATCACATTTCCCCAGTTTGCTACCTCTCAATGTTACTTTATACTATCATAGTTGGTTTTTTGTTTTGTTTTGTTTTGCTATGACAGCATGCATCCATGTGCACTATTTTTTGGGGGGATCTTCTGCTTTCTGGAAAAATAAGATCTATTCTGGACAAGGCTTCAGCTCCATAATCAAATTCATGGGATTAAAAAATAGAAAAATGACCTTGGTAGACATCTAGTGAAACCTATAACAAAAAAGAATTGCCAACCTGACTCTCTGTTTGAAGTTTGTATACTGGGGGTCCCCTCCAGTATCAACTCATGACTAGGGTATTCTTGGGGCTTAGTCTACAGCATTTCTTATTAACTTTTTCTTCCAATTATGGGCATTTAGCTACTTATTCACCTTCCTTGTATGCTACCCTTCTCCATATTGGATTTCACCCATTCTCCCAATCTTCCCACCCCATTTTGCTTCTATCATGTATTATCTTTGCCCTTAGGGCTTTCCTACATGAGTATTTTCCTAGTCTAACCATTCATCCCAACCATTCCAACTAAAAGAACTTAAGTTGGGAAAGAGCTCATGTGGTCCAATTATTGTAGCTACATAGGATTACCCTTTCTAACATCTTGGCAAGTGAGGCAGTTAGGTGACACAGTGAATGACACAATGGACCCGGAGTCAGGAAGACCCGAGTTCAACTCCACTGAGACACTTGCAAGTTGTCATCCTGGGCAAGTCACTTGAGCTCTGCCTGCCTCAGTCTCCTCATCTGCAAAATGGAGATAATAAAAGCACCTACATCCCAGGGTTGTGAGGATAAAATGATATATTTGTAAAGTGCTTTGAAAATCTTAAAGTGCTACATAAGTGGCATCTTTTATTATTAGCTAGTTAAGACCATCCATCTACCACTTAAGTCTACCAGTGTTGGGGAAACCATTAACTCCTGAGGTAGTCTACTCTGCCTTTGCATAGGTCTACTGTTATGACGCTTTCCCCTAATGTAAGCTATTAGAAAACCTACCCCAGATTTGAATTTATCTATGGATGAGTACTCACTTGAAAAAATAGCTCACATGTCCCACAAGTGTGCTTACTTTTATTGGACACACATAAGACACACTAATTCAAAACAAGTGGCATTTAATCAAACAGCATAGCAAATAAGGCAATGAAATACACAGGTGCTCCACTACCCCCACCCCAAACACATGGGGCATACATTCCACAGGTTACAATATCACTGGAAAAGAATATTCACACACACAAAAGAACACATATTAAGGCAAACAAATCAGGTACTGATGTAGCCATGGCACATGTGTGACCAGGGCAATGCATCTCCATATTGCAGAAATACTGACATCTTCTGGTAATTGTCATATTCCAACTCCACTGTGTTGCCTCTGATGATTTTATGGTCACTGAGCTATACTGTGCAGCACTTCTGGCATTAAGGGCTACACCTCTGCTTTCTGTTCTTAAATAAAGTGCAGTCTTTAGAAGGCCTTAACTTACAAAGGGCAAACTAATACTTTTAGTGCACAGCCTGGACATATTATATACATGACACTCATCTGGGAAATTAACAAAAGCCAACAAAATGCCCCCAAGTTCTCTTTTCTTCTGAATCCTATCGTCTGATGCTGAGTTTAAGCCCATGGTACTCACTACTATCTGACTTTGCGTTAGATCATTCCTCATAACTCCCATTATATTACTGATCATGAGTCTGTGTCCTCAAAAAGCATTTAGACAGTGGCTCTTAAACTCCCAAGGAAGTTACATGTATGCTGGGGCTTAGGCCCATCAAAAATAGTTTATGAGTAGCATGGAACTGAAACTGTGGGATAAAACAAGACCTAGTTGAAACACATAGGTTCCACAATCCTGTCTTTTATTATTATGCCTAATTGCTGCTTTCCAGCTAGACTCAAGTTTTGCAGTGTTCCTTTCTTATAATGAACTGAAAACTGCCTCTTTACAATTTCTAACTATGATTCATCTCTCCAAGTCCAAGTAGAGTACAGTAATCCATCTTCTATATCAATTCATCTTGGCTTTCTCCCTGCCTCTCTGCATAGTTTCCTTAGAAGGTATGTTAGGCTCTCATTAACTCTGCTCCCTCCCTATCAACCACTCATTTCACTCAGGCTGAGGTTACCTGGAAAGCGCTGGGCTGCGAATGAATCAGAATACATTTACGGATGAGTGCCCATTCAATATCCATAGATGTAGAGTTACGTACTTTTCCTAAAGCCTTCCCAAGTTTCCTTAACTTTTAAGTGGATTTTACTCCAATACAAATTATTTGATATGGGCTGGACCTGAACATTTTCCTACATTGTTTATATTCAAAGCAGGGGGTGGGTGTATCTACTATGAATTTCATTATGTACAATAAAATTTGGACACAACATCTGTTTCCACTAAGAATTCTGATGTTCTTTAAGCACATTCATTACACTGGAATGGTTTCCCTTGAATACAAAACGAATTGGGCCTTGAATTTTGGTCAGTTTTCCCATATTAATTAAATAGAAAAGGCACCTCACTGAGTGAATTCTCTTTCATGAATTAATGGTTTCCTTCCAGTTGAAAGCTTTCCAACATTCATTATAGAGAAATACTTTCTCATCAGTATGAAATATTGATAATTTAGGCTTTGATACTTGAAGGCTTTCACATTCATTTATTTATATGGATTCTTTCCAGTATGGATTCTTTTATGTATTTTATGGCTTCCTAGAATTAAGTAATTCAAACTGTTTTTCTCCAGTATGAGTTATTTTATGTGTATTAAGATTTCCCATCTGGTTAAAGGCTTTTCCACATTCATTACAGATGTATAGTTTCATTCCCCTATGAGTTATTGAATGTCTATTAAGTTTTCCTTTCTGGATGAAGGTTTTCCCACATTCATTACACTGAAAGGGTCTCTACCTGGTATGACAGACTTGATGGTAAGTTAAACTTTGTTGATTGGTAAAAGCTTTTTCACATTCATTACATTTATAGGGTTTCTCTCCGGTATGAATTCTCTTATGTGTTTTAAGACTTCCTTTCTGGCTGAAAGCTTTCCCACATTCATTACATTCAAAGGGTTTCTCCCCAGTATGAGTTAATTTATGCATGGTCAGAGTTCTCTTCATATTAAATGACTTACCACATTCATTACATACATAGGGTTTTTCTCCAGTATGAACTCTTTTATGTGTATTAAGATATCCCTTTGTGGTGAAGGCTTTTTCACATTCATTACATTGAAAAGTTTTCTCTCCTGTACGAAATATTTGATGATGAATTAGGCTTTGATGATTGGTGAATGCTTTTCCACACTCATTACATTTATAAGGTTTCTCTCCTGTATGAATTCTCATATGTCTTTTAAGGTTTCCCATCACATTAAAGGCTTTCCCACATTCATTACATATATAGGGTTTCTCTCCAGTATGAATTCTCCTATGTTGATTAAGATTGGCTCTCTGGGTGAAAGCTTTCTCACATTCACTACACTGAAAGGTTTTCTCTCCAGTATGAAATATTTGATGATGAGTTAGGCTTTGATAATTGGTGAATGCTTTCCCACATTCATTACATACATAGGGCTTCTCTCCAGTATGAATTCTCTTGTGTGATTTAAGACTTTCATTCCACCTGAAGGCTTTCCCACATTCATTACATATATAGGGTTTCTCACCAGTATGAATTCTCTTGTGTTTATTAAGATCTCTTCTCACCATGAAGACTTTCCCACATTCATTACATTCAAAAGGGTTCTCAGCTGTATGAAGTCTCTTATGAGTTCTAAGGTTTCCCTTCAGGGTGAAGGCTTTCCCACATTCATTACATATATGTGGTTTCTTTCCAGTATGAATTTTCTTATGTACTCTAATGGATGCACTATATCTGAAGCCTTTCACACATACATTACATTCCAAGTGGTTTTCTCTAGTATGACTGATTTTATGTGTCTTAAGGATTCCTCTCTGACTAAAGCCTTTCCCACATTCACTGCATTTATAGGGTTTCTCAGTAGTATGAATTATTTGATGTTGCTTAAGGGATGAATGGTATCTGAAGCCTCTCCCACAGGTACTACATTCAAACCGTTTCTCTCCAATATGAATTAGTTCATGTGCATTAAGGCTTCCTTTCCTGCTGAAAGATTTGTTACATTCATTACATTTATGGGGTTTCCCTCGAGGATGGATTCTATGATAAAAAATAACGTTTGACTGGTAACTGAAAGGCTTCCTGCATTTACTACACTTGAGTTTCTTCCCAATGCGGATTCTCTTAGGTTTAAGTGGGTCAAAAAACTGCTTTAAACTCCTTCCAAGAGTGCTGTATTTACGAAGACTTTCTCCTATATGAACTCTCTGCTGTGGAGTAGCAACTGACCCCAGATTGAGCTTTCTCCCAAATAGGTTACATTCATGAACAGATTCATTAGGGATTGTTACCTCCTGAGACTGTGTTTCTTGGTTTCCCTTCTGCCTATCTAACCTGTCACCACAATCCCAAGTTTCTCCCAATGTGGAAGGCCGGGGCCCTTCCTTTATGAATCTCTTTTTAAATGGTTCTCCCACAAAAATGTCCCACTTCTCGGTTATCTCCTTGGTTTCACATCTTGTCTTCTGACTAAGAGAATCTGAAAACAACAAAAACATGTCAATATCCATTTTCCCCCTATGCTTAGAACTTTAAGAATTCTGATCAATGCATTATATTCTAGATTGTGTCTTTTATGTAAAGGACAATGATAACTAATGAGGAAAAAGTGGAATAATCACTATTAGCAGGAAATTTAAGCCTAAAGTGGTCAAGAAAATAGTAACAGTGCAACTAGCTGCTCAGGAGCTAATCCAGTGATTGATACCTCTTCAAGACTGCGTCTCTTGGTTTCCCTTCTGCCAATCTAACCTGAAAACATAATCCCAAATTTTTCCCAGTGTGGAATGCAAGGAACCTTCCTTTATGAATCTCTCTACATGCTCAGAAAGAAGAAATAGTTTGATTTTGGAAACTAATGAGCAATAAGTTGCATAATCCAGGGGTAAACCTATTAAACCAATGATTTGTAATCATTTAGAAAAAAAGTGTGAATTCCTACACTGTTCTATAAATTCAGTGAGAAGAGATTATGCAAACCAACAACATATCTGTTACTTATAAGATGTGTGGGCCGGTGGATGAAGTATTACTATAGGCATCAAGATAGCTAGATTTCAGCAACTTGTTTGGAAAAACTCATCTCAAGATGCCTTTGATGATCAGATTAAACAAATGTGGGTTAGATGAGAATACAAGTCAGTGAGAATTTGTAGATGCTCAAATAATGTTTCCCCACATCTTGAATGTTGAGCTCTTGTAAGCAAGCAATATATTGTCTAGTTTTATGCCTTAGATCTATGGACAGGGCCTTGCCCCATTCACCATTTTTGATGAAGTAACAGACTGCACTCTCATTTACACAAAGTGAGGCATCCTGTCTTGGTGGTTAGAGACCCTGCAAGCCCTGGCTTCAATTTCCCCTATGGCACACATTATCTAGGCACGTTATTTAACCTCTGTGTTCTAGAAAACTCTCTCAGCCTAGGAGAAGTAGAGAAGGGGCCAACATTCATTGGTAAAGGTAGTTTCTTCACCTTACCCCCATTCAACAGTTTCATATAAAACTTTAATGAAATCATAGAGTACTCTTACCAACACTGCTGATGTGAAGAGATGTGAGGTAACTAATATAGTAGAGAAATGAACTAGGATGAAAAAAAACCCCAAGGAGATGGAAATATTGGCTAGAAAAAACAATTTGTTATTTAATAAAGATAAATGCAAATTCCTGTGCTCAAGACATTGATTACACAAATGCAGGACTGTAGAAACATGGCTGAGTAGTAGGTTCAAAAAGCCTAGGGTTTTTAGTTGATTCTAAGATAAATATAGACCACCAATAAACACTGATTCATGTTATTCTTAAGCTTTTTTTATGAATAAGAAGAGGTACTGGCAGACAACAGAAAATTAAGGTAGACACTGTACTGGTAGCATGACAGGACCCAATGAGGGGTCATTATTATCCAGATGTCAGCTTGGACAGAAGTTGCCCAAGGGAACTATCCTTGGCTGTGAATTTAACATTTTAATCAGTGACTTGGAAGAAGGCATAAATGGCAGGTTTATCAAATGTGTGGATGACCAAAAACTGGGAAGACTGCCTAATACTATAGAATATGGGGTTAGGATGACAAATATCCTGACAGACTAGCACATTAGGCTCAATATAATGAGCTTAAGCTCACATGGTTAGATATGAAGTCCTATACTTGGGTCACAAAACATCACAAAAACAAGTTAAAGGAGGAGGGGCTCCCCCACTAAAGTTCACTAAAAAAGACCCTGATGCTTTAATGGACTGGAGTGTAACATCAAAACGTCAATAATTTCTTTCGACAGACAAAGCATCTAAAGTGATTTTAGGACAATTCCGATGAGAGTTTTCCTCTCCATTCCACCCAGACACAGTAGCAAACCAGCTAATGTGACCTTAGGGTGCACAAAATGACCCAGGGTCCCGAACAAGGGAAGTGATATTCTCACTGTACTCTGTTCTGAGCACACCACATCTGGAGTGTTCACTTCTGAGCAGGAGAGGGCAGAATTCATCTAGAAGTGTGTACCTGGGAGATGGAGAGGGTTACTGAAGGAAAAGAGGAAAGGAGATGGGAGTAAGTATAAAAGTTAGAAAACAAGGATGGATTAGCAGAAGTGGCTTAGGATCAGATTCATGGCTTTCACCTCACAACTGAGTTACTCAACTACTCAACACGTCTACGGCTATTGCCTCTTCCAATCCATCCCCCTTTATAGATGCCATATTTTTGTTCCCAAAACAAACTTCATCATAACATTTCCCTTTCTGACAATTGCCATTTCCTCTATTACCTCCACCCTCTGATATAGTCAATTCCCCTAGGAAGCACTGAAAGGACCCCACAAGGCAGCATCTGCTCCAGTCAACCTATCACTGTTGCCTAGCAGGCTTTCCATATGATTCTTTCTTATCAAAAGTGCTTCCTCACCCCTCTCTCCACCTAATCAAACTCCAACTGCGTCTTTGGGGGGATATAAAAAAATGGAGATGTTTGGAGAGTTGATGGAGAGGTCTGGAGATGTTCAGGCATCATGCAATGTGGACTTGGCACCTCTACAAGAAGAGATATGAGATATGAGAGAGAATAGAAGGGGGGACAAGAAGGATGGGAGGGAGTGGAGAGGGGGAAGAGGAACAGGAGAAACAGAGGGGAAAAGGAGAGAGATGAAAAAGAAGAAAAGATTTTGTACATTTTAAATTCAAGAAAAGTAGTTCTGAAAAGAGGTACTACAGCTGCCAGAAAAATTAAGGGAAAGAGAAAGGAAATTACGGGACCCAGAATACAAGGTCAGGGGCTGGCATTAGAAAAAAGAAAAGCCTTTCTCAAAGAGACTAGGAATGAGTGGAGTGAGGTCAGCAAAGTGATGTTTTAAGTGAAAGAGCAGTTCATGGGAGAGAACACACGTAAAATAGATATAGTGCGTTTGCAAGCACCTAGGAACCCTCATAGAGAGCTCCCTGCCCAACACCTACAGTGACCATTTGTGATGGTGCTCACAGAGTTTTCCATCCATTAATTCTTCACTCACTCATTCACTCACTCACCTAGGAAAGTTGTAACCAGGACTCCTCCCTCTGCCATCCATGGGGCTTCTATTCTTTCCATCCGGGAAATCACATCTGGCAGGGAAACAGGAACGCCTCCTTGTGGGGAAATAAATGGGAGAGTGCTGAGGTCACAGATAGAACCCAGGATTCAGTCTTGCCCTCTCTCTCATTAGGGAATAAAGGGAGTGTCAGGCCAGAACCAGATGGAAGGACAAAGGATTCCTGAAGATTTCTCCATATTGTGTTCCCAGGAAACATGGAAGATGGGTCACCAGCACAAAGGAAATCACTTTATCCTACCACATCCTCTGCTAGGAGGATGCAAACTGTTCAAGTCTTCCAAGTATCTACACTGGCTCTTTGGGGTAACTCACTGAATTGGATGAACAGCCAGTATCAGAGGTTACAGCCTTAGGGCAGCACAATGAAACTACTGATTTCCCATTGTACACAAACACCTTTCACTTAAGCAGAGAGAGCAGAAACACCAGTGACCCTGGGTACCAAACAACTGTGAAATCACTCCCTATCAGGTGCATTCAGGACATTATCCCTCCAGGAGAAGGGAAGTACTTCCGGCATCAGTTAGCCAAGAGGAAATGCAAAGACAGCCCAAGGGAAGCTGATGCTCTGGCTGGGGGAGAGCCGACCTTACCAAGGGAGACAAAATTCTCATAGTTCTCCAGCATCACATCCCAATACATGTCCTTCTGAGAAGGTTCCAAGAGCCCCCATTCCTCCCAGGTGAAGTCCACAGCCACATCTTGGAACGTCAGTGGTATCTGAAATAGCAAACAAGACACATGCTCACTTGGGGACCAGCCCTCATGGGGAATATGACAAAGACATGAAGTTGGCAGAATGGAAAAGCACTGTTTCTCAAAGCATTAAGCAGAATTTTAGTATTTCTGGAGAAATTACTTATTGGATACACCATTTTATACTGGACTTAATATTGCAGAAAAGTTTCCTATTCAAAGTCAGTCTTACAAATGAACTCCCACAGTAAGTCATACTTGGAAACCCCCCTGCCATAGGAGCAATTTCCTAACCCCTGCCCCCATCCAAGTCAGGCTAGTTTTTCCTTAAAAGGTATTGAGACCAATCTAGGGAATTGGTTGGCCCAGGGAATGAAAGGCTCAGGCTATTGACATCACCTGCTGGTCATCTGAGCACAAAACTGCCTTGGGAAAGTTCAGGCATCCTCTCTGATGCTTGGCTGGTGGAACTTAAGGGCATGTCATTCAGCTGAATCCTGGATTTCCATCCTTTCTGAATAAACTACCAGGGCACTGGTCTAAGGCTGGCCCAGCACACAACACCCCAAAACCACATCAGGGTAAACCTGAGAGCCCAGCGATGGTAACTGGAAAAACTACCAATCACATACTCACAATGGGCTTCAAGGTTTACAAATGTACCAGCTGCCATCATATCTTGGTAGATCAGTGTCTCTTTTCATTCACCCATCAGCTGGCTACTTGACTTGTGCCCATATTTCATCTAATGCCAAGCTCCAGAATGATACTTTCTTATTAACAGATTTACAACCTCTTTCTCATCTGTAAAATGGGGATAAAAATAACAGTCCACTGGGTAGCAATAACAGGGGATGGGACTAGATGCTGCAGCCCTGATTTCTACTCCTCTATGGCTCTCCCTGGCAGCCAGAATGAAGAGAGTTAAGAAAAGAGTGAGAGGAAAGAAACTGAGGGCAACAGCTGTAGATAGCCTTCTTAAGGAATTAAGCCACAAAAGGGAACAAAAATATCGGACCACAGCTGGCAGGGAAAGACGTATCAAGTAGGGTGTGTGTTTTCTGAGGATGGAGTAGACATGGGCTTGCTTGTAGGCAGCAGGAAAACAACCAGTAGGCAGGGAAGGAATGACTGAACACCAGTAAGAGAGGAAGGGTGATTGGGGGACAGACAGTCTGCTAAAGAAGACAGGAAGGAATGGGATCACTTCTGCATGAAAGGGGGGTTTCAACGAGGCTTTTGATAAAATATCTCAATACAGATTTAAAGGAGATTGAGAATTATGAACTACTCAACAACACAACTGAATAGATTCAAGATTGTCGGAATGGCAAAATGCAGAGTGGTCGTTGCTGATTCAACAACAAGTTCCCAGGACGTGTCCAGTGCAGTGCCCAAGAGGGCAGTGTTTGACCCGGTGACATCTTAACATTTTTGTCTATGATTTGGATAGAAGCAGAGATGGCATATCGCATGCTCATCATATTGGACTCAAAAAGTTGGAGCTTGAGTTTCTCATCGTCTAGAGAATTGAACCAACAGTAATAAAGGGAAATTCAACAGGGATAAATGTAGTCACAGAACCACAGAATCTGTGACTTGGAAATGACCTCACAGGAAGAGCTGAAACCATAAACCAAAAGAATTCTCACTATAACGTATATGACATATAGTCTTCAAGTCTATGAAGCTCATACTTTGGTAGAAAAAAGTGAACTGTACAACTATAGGACACAGAAAGAATAGTAATATAGTTGTTTTGGGATAGGACGGTATTTTAGTGGATGGGCTCAAAAGGGAAAATAGATTACTTCAATTCCATGAGAATAAAAAGCTTTTGCTGATACAAAATATACATGTGTAGAATAAAAAAAAAAACAACAGAGAGAGAGAAGTACAGTAGAAAGAGCACTTGCTCTGAAATCAGAGGACATGAGTTCAAATGTCACCTCTGAAACTTATGACACCTGTGTGGTCTTGGACAAGTCTCTTGTGCTCCCTAAACCTCAGTTTCCTCAAGTGTAAAGTGAGACGCTTGGAATTCACAGCCTCAGAGGTCCCTTCTAGCTTAAGATCTGTGACCCCAAGAGAAGATGCGCTTGTGCTAATCTCTGAGGACACTGCAACTGATAAACATGTGACATCCAAAATCCACAAAGAATTTATACCAAACCCCTACCCCTAGTACATAAATGGGAAAAGATATTAGTGAAAAATTCCCAAAAGATATAATGCAAACGTTCAAGAACCTCAACATGATTAATGACCAGACAAATGCAAACTCTGCCATTTTAGTTGACACCAAATTGCCAAAGCCAGAAAGATTCAATGTATCTGGAGATGTGAAAACAGAGGCAAACATTCCCTGGTCCTGGAGATGCAAGGTGGTCCAGCTATGTTAGAAAATCCTTTGGAATTCCACAAGAAAAGTTACAAAGCTATTTATACTCTCTGCCCAAGCTACCTGTTCCCACAATTAATAAGGTTTTATATCTTAAGCTATTTATTAACAACAGGAAAAAACACACGTGCAAAAAAAACCACATGTATATACATACATATTATATATATAATTATGTATCATATATACATACATGTAATATATGTATGTGTGTGTGTATATACATATATATAAATTTTTTTTTAGTTTAAAAAAACTCCAACTCTACCCCACCCTGAAACTCTGTCCCAAAAGACACAGGAATGTGTTATAAGGAATGACAAATAGAAAGATTTCAAACAAACAGAGGGAAGATCTGTAAAAAATGATATAGACTCATTAGGGCATAATCAAAGAATGATATACACAACTACAACAGCTAAGTGAATGAAAACAACTTTAAATGGTAACAGATATCGGATCAATCACAGCATGGCTACTAGAAAGTGATGGATGTGCAGCAGGAGAGCCTCGGTTCAAATGTGAGCTCTACCAATTGCTAGCTGTGTGACCTTTGCCAAATCACAACCTCTCTGGACATGCTTCCTCATCTATAAAATGAGGCACTTGGAGTAGAGAGATGACATGGAATGTCCCTTCCACCTGTAAACTGATGACCACTGGACAGCATTGCTACAAATTTATATTGTGTGACCCACCCTACTTCTAACACTCAGGTGACTACTGATGTAGCATGTATTAACACTAAATCAATATTTATTAAGAGTCTACTACGTGCCAGGCACTGTGCTAAGCACTGGGGAGACACGCATAGAGAGCCAAAAGGCAGACTCCCTGCTCTCACAGAGTTCACAGTCTAGTGGAAGAGACAACCTGCAAAGAACTATGTACGAACAAGCTATATATAGCACAAATGGGAGAGATCCAAAGGACAGAAGGCACTAGAATGAAGGGGGATTAGGAAAGGCTTCCTGTAGATGCTGACATTTTAGCTGGGACTTGAAGGAACCTGGAGAATCTAGGAGGTGGAGATGAGAAGGGAGGGCATTTCAAGCATGGATGGAGCATCTTGCTCAAGAAACAGCAAGGAAGCCTGACTCCCTGGATCATAAAATACAGGTTGAGAGCATTAGGGGTAAAAAGCCTGGGAAGGTAGGGGGAAGGCTAGGATATAAAGGGCTCCAAATGCTGAACAAGATTTTATAGCTGATCCTGGAGGTGATAGGGAATCACCGGAGTTTCCTAAGTAGAGGGGTGATGTGGTCAGACCTGGGCTTTATGAAGATCATTTAGATGAGTGGAGGATGATTTTGTAGCAGGTACTTGAATCATTGAACTGTTTCAGTAGTTCAGATGTAATACAGTAATGAACAGGGCAGTTGCAGTTATAATCATTCACTTATCTTGTTTCACTTACATGTTTTCTGGTATTATACATTATGGGAGAATCAAAATAAGAGTAATACGGAGCTTTGTATGAAGACAAGATTCATCAATGCAACCATTTAAAAAAATTGCTTCTGGTGAGTATGACTTACTGCCTCAGTGACACTGTTTGAGGACCTGAACCAGGCATTAGGCTTCTTCACCTCAAAGAGCTTAGGTCAGTATTGGCTCCATAACAGGCTGAACAAATGAATAAATATTCAAAGGAGACATCAGCTATTAGCACGGTGCCCTTTCCTCTTAGCCTGTATTATCAGTCAAAATTGATACTATCTACAAAAGCTGAGGTTCAGGCCCCTAGAAGCAACTTCACTGAAGACAGCAGAAAATGAGGGAAAGAAAAGGTTCTAAATATACTTTGAGAAAAATGATGGCATTTTGGGGAGGGGGGATATCCCAACTCACCTGGGATCTGGCTGTTAGGAGCACAGAAGTCATTCCCTTCTCCTCCTTAATTTTTCTTTCTTGCAGAAGAGCAGAGCACTGAGGAGTCAGAACAGGAGGAGGAGAAAGAAGTCAGGAGGGAGATCAATCCTGTCTGTCATTCCCAAACCACCCAGGGTGCTGCCAAAAGTAGCAAATAAAATGAGCAGAACAAGCTGATCAAGCCTCTGTGGAAAATGAAAACTCACCCAAATGCCCTGCCTCCAGACCACTGCACTGAGTGACTCTCATTCACCAGGCTACTGAAAGTCATGGCAGAGATGATTTCTTGGAGTCATTCTCAGGGAACTCAAAAAGACGGTAAACAACATGAGAGGTGCCAACGAACTGGGAAAGGGCAAAGGCTATCCCAGCCTTCAAAAAAGGAAAGAAAAAGGAGCCTAAACTACAGGCCAGTGAGCTTGACTTTGATTTGTGGCAAATTTCTAGACCCTGTTATTAAAGGGTCTAACTTTAATTGACTATTCAAAATGACTCTCATTACACTAATTATTAAAACTATTGATTTAATTACTATTAACAATTAATTACTCATTATCATTCTACTAATTATTTTAAAACCATTAATTCAATGACTATTAAAAACTACTAGGAGACATCTAGAAGTGGGAAGGATCCTGGAGGGGCAGCAGGGCCTCATCTAGAACAGGTTATCTTAGAGTAATCTCATTGTTTTTGGGTAGAATGAGGATGACCACACTGGGAGATCTGGCTACAGGCATAGCACACCCCCTCACCTCCATATCATTATCTGGGAGCCTCTGTCCATGTTGGCACCTGTCTCCTCCTGGATACTCTCCTCTCTAGGTTTTCATGACCCTCTCCTGTCCTGGTTCTCCCCCTGCCTGTCTGACCTCTCCTAAGTCTTCACCTAGGATTCCTCATCTATAAAATGAGGCACTTGGAGTAGAGAGATGACATGGAATGTCCCTTCCACCTGGAAACTGATGACCACTGGACAGCAT